GTTTATATTCCTGGGTGTGATGTCTCTTTAAAATTGTCAGCTTATGCTGATGATTTAATAGTTTTTGTAAACACATAGGAAGATATTGATGTTTTAGTCAACACTGTTTTTCATTTTGGCTGTATCACTTCTGCAAAAGTAAACTCTAGAAAGAGTGAGGCTATAACTGTTGGAAGTCGGTTTGGAGATCAACTCAGTCTGCCTGGAGGCTTAGTGTGGAAAAAGGGTGGCCTCAAATTTTAGGTGTGTTCTTGGGTAATGAAACTTTTGTGCAAAAAAATAGGGAAAATGTTGAGGGTTGACTTTTGAAGTGGAAGTGGATTTTACCTAAAATATCATATAGAGGACGAGTTCTTTTAATTAATAATCTAGTTTCTTCCGCCATGTGGTACCAGTTGATGTGTGTTGATCCTCCAGTTTCACTTTTATCAAATGTTCAAAGGGTCTGATAGATTTTTTTTGGGATAAACTTCACTGAATTCCTCAAAGTATTTTGTTTTTTTGAAGAGAGAAGAAGGTGGTCAAGGTTTGATCCACCTGGCCAGCAGAGAAGCTGCTCTTCGTTTTCAGTTTATTCAGAGATTGGTCACAGGACCTGCCGATCTAGTATTTTCTCTGTGTGGTCTTTGCTAAGAAAGGAGAGACAGCAGCAGGCTGAGTCTCTACACTGGCTGCTCCAGGAACCGATTTTGTTTAGGAGTTTGTTGGATTGTCCTACTTGGGGGGCAACAACCTGCCCCAGACTGCTCCACACAGCAAAAGTTTAATGCCTTGGGAGGGCGGTGGAGCTGGCTGGACCTCGGCTGGATGATCCTGTTAAGCTTGCTGCTTGTTTGGGAATACAATCTGGTTGACATGTTGGTCAGCTTTTGTGCTACTGGAAGCAGAAGTTAAGTGAACATGAATGTTTCGGTTTTGACTGATTATCATGAAGGTGCTGTGTCTCCAAATCACTTGAATCCTTCTCCATCATTCGGACTGTTTCCTGGAATAAAGAACTGCTCTGGCCCTTTTTTGGATTCGGTGGACAATAAAGGAATTTCCCTAGAAGGAGCTTCTGGAAAAGTTATCAATAGGATGATTGTAAAATCTCTCAATCAAGACAAGTTGAATGGACGCAGTGACACAGGATGAACAACTAACTTCTCCTTAAAACCTGAATCAAACCTGAATGGAATCGCTGTATAAGCCTCCACTAACGAAAAAACATGCAGATTTACAATGGAGAATCCTTCATGGTATTGTAGCTGTAAATTATTTTGTTTCTGTTATTAATCCTGCTGTGGAGGAAACATGTTCATTTTGTGAACAGAGAGAAACAATGTTTCATTGTTTTTCTGACTGTGTTCGTCTGTCGGATCTTTTTGTGCTTTTGAGAACTATTTTTAACAGATATGGAGAAATGTTCACTAAACATGGATTTAGAGTCACACGCCAAAAAAATAGTAAACGTGAATTGATTTTTTGTTAGGAAAGGCTAAAATGGCCGTGTACATAAGTAGAAAGAGGAAGGTTGTGAATGAGAATATTGACTTGGTTTCTTTATTTATTAACCTGGTGAAGTCTAGGCTATTGCTTGAATTTAATTTTTACAGATCAGTTTAAGATTTAGATACTTTTTGTCGCATCTGGAGTTGGGAAAGTAATTTGTAGTGTGGTAAGGTGTTAATGTAATTTATTCTGTGGTGTTCTTTCTTTTTGTTGATTTTTTCTGTTACATAGTTTGTGATACTATGTGGATTATTTATTGATAATAAATTAGTTATTAAAATCTCTCTCTAATATATATTTATAGTTCTAAACACACATTATCTGATTAAAGAACAAATGTTCACATACACATATGCGTAAATAATGATAAAAGAGTTTTGGAAGAGATTTAAACAAACTTATAAGGAAAAAACCCTTTAGTTAGAGACAACAAAAATTTTCCATTCACAACGATTTGACAAAAAAAGGCTTTACAATGAAAAAGATAAAAAACAAAAATGAACATAAAATTTATAAAAAATAAATAAATAACTACTCTCTTTTGTAAATCATACAACAAATGTTCCTCTATAAACCATAACACTCATTATGAAAGAGCAAAAAAATACTGAATAATAGTAATAATGTACTATATAAAAATATTGTATTTGTAAAACATAGTCTTATAATACATTATTATAAAACTTTGTGTTAACATATTAATATTTATTTGTAAAATATATAACCGCTTATATCTCATACAGTTTGACTTCAGTTTAAATAGTTTTTTAACTGAATAAATGTGTGTAATCTAACTGAAAGGTAAATTTAAATGTGTTTTGGTCTTTCAAGGGGTTGTTAGATTATTGTAATTTTATCTTTGACTCCTCTTTCATGTGATTCAAATGAGATCTAAGGATTCTCCTATTCATTCAACAGCTGTCTAAACTGTGGTCCGATCCGAGATGGCTGCCCTCTAGGCACATCGGCTTCACTGCCGACAGCGTACAATGAGGTGTCAGGTGTTTTATGTCTATGGGTATGACTACACCACTGTTGTCACCATGGTAGCAGTCCAAGCTCTGGCAGCAACTTTTGCCATGATACACTAGCTGCTGGATAAAGAATGCCCAAGAGTCCAGAGGTCACAAACAGTTAATATGCTTCTTATGAGTGTCAACACTGCACGTAGCCATGGGCAGGTAAATCAGTGTGTACTATTGAGTTAACCTTTGTACTCTGTAATAAATGACAGTCTTAAGGCCACTTTATAGACAAAATAAAATATTTAATTAGGCCCACATTTTTTAGAGTTCAGTTATAATTGCACCTTTAAGAAAACAATTCAAAGAGCCTTTTTTTTTATGTTTGTTGTTGAGTTGTTTCTTTACTCAGTGAATGTGCTAAGCATATGCAGGACTTACATTTATACGACTAAATTTGATGCTGCTCATGCTGCTTGAGTGGAAAACAGGTCCTCACTCGCTTTGGAGGGCCTTATAAGCCACTTGCTTATATTCAATTGGTTTAATACGGGACTTAATATGGCCAACACTCAAACGGAGTAAGCAGTGCACAGGAGGAGGGAGTAACCACTGATAGGAAAGTCCTTATGTTAACCATTTTTTTTCCACTGGATGGCTCAGTTACCATGATAACAATGTCCAGACACACCTAGATTAATCACTTCATCAAGTAATGAATAGGCCTGTCCTAATTAGGGGCTACTCCCTACCCAGTCCTTGCTACATTTGTGCTTTTCCACAGTGTCGGGGAAGAGAAAATGATTTACAAAACAGGGCCGGGCTTTCCTCTGGAGTAAAGAGTGAAGACAGATTTTCTATTGGTCTGCTGGAATTTTTCATTGGTCAATTTTTGCATCAAAATTGAGTTTTGTATCGGGCTTGAAGTGAAGATAAAGTGATTTGAAAGACGCAGTTTAGAAAGAGGGCAATTCATAACATTTAATCTGAAAAACAAATATTTGATATTGCTTTTATTGGTTTTTCAAAGTTTAATTTCTGGATTTAACTGTTTTTCAAATTTCAATTAACAAAATGTGTTTTATGCCTGTAACAATAATGAACCAAAATTCATGCCATATCAATAGAGCTCATCTCATCACGGCCGTGATCTGCTAAACTTCCTGCTGTTCTGTTAGGAGTTCCTGGATATAATTGGCTGAAAGTGAATCATGACAGGTTCATACTGGACCAGGTTGCGGAGGCAGCAGTCTCCCCAGAGATTCACAGACTTACCTGTCCCCACACACCTTTTCCAGCACTGCTGGGGAAAGCCCATGGTTCTCCCAGGCCAGTTTAGAGATATCCCTCTAATGTGTCCTGGGTTGTCCCCTGGAACTTGTGGAACATATTTTTCTTTGGCCTATTTGTGAGATAAATTTTCTTGAGTGTGCCTGCCTGAATAGGAGTGAGTTCAGAAAAATATTGTACCAGCCTCTATGCTATAATATTTAAGGTAGGGATGACACAAAGCAGTTGCCTCCCTACTCTAGACAAGGGGTGAAGGGAGGCTAATGAGAGATAAGAATGAGTTCACACAGCCTCCTTCATGCCGTGAACGGGAGACCTGTACTGAGTGTTTATCAGGCTAAAATTTATGTCCTTGATTAATTGAAGTGTTTTTTTCTTAGGAATAACTAAATTATCAAGTGTGAGAAAGTTTCCTTATGCAGGGGGTGGGTTTGTTACCATGGGGGGAATTTGTGTGTGTGATTTTGTAAGGTGTAAATGTATGTACTGAAGTGCCTCAGTCAGAGAGCTCTATCTCTCCGTCCGAGGATATTAAATAAATTTGAACATTATTTCTTGCAAGAAATGCTTACGCCTCAGCTTCCTAGCTCTACAAATTCCTTCCAGTAGAATGTGCCTGGAAGACCTCCCAAAGGAACAGCCAAGTGTGAATCTCAGCTGATTCACACTTGGCTGCAAACCCCCAATACATGCTGTATTTCTTGCAGGTGGGAGCCAGCAAAACCAGCATGAACAGGGAATACTTCTAAATTAAATGTGGCAGTACAGACCAAGTTCATTCTCAGCATGTATGTAGACTGGATGGTAAAGTGCTGCTGAGTCCATACTCCTGAAGTGCCCCCTAACAAGGCAGCCCAAGGGACATGATTGAATTCCCTCTTTAGGTCCAAAACACACAGATGAACTGGTTGGACAAACTCCCAAGCACCTACAAGCACCCTGCAGAGAGTGTAGAACTTGTCCACTGTTCCACGGCTAGGATGATAACCACACCGCTGCTTCTGAAGAGGGACTTCGACCAGCAGCCAGTCTCTCCTCTCCAGCATTCTGGCATAGGCTTTCCTGGGGAGGCTGAGAAATGTGATCCCCCCCAGAGAGGTTCAGGGGCACAAAAGGTGTACCGGCCCTGGCTTTTATCGGGTTATATCAAATTCAGTCTCTTTAATCCTCCTAAACTTCTGCACCTAAGGTTTGATCTGTACATGAAATAAAACAAAGATCGGTTTTTGGGGAGTTTCTTTGGCTTGTTTTCTTTACCTTGTGGCATTGCACGGGACGATTCCCTGAATGGTGATGGTTCTGCCTGGCTTGAGTCCATCACTGATGTGTTGTTTATATGGAACATTCTGTGTAGAAACGGAGAAGAGACTACCAATGATCTGGTATGACAATTCAGACCTCTAAGGATTAAAACAACTAGGGTTGTGCAAAAAAGGAGAGAAAAGAGTTGCTGATGATAATTTTTACTCACAAGCAGTTTAATAGGAGATTCTGGCTAAGGAAATGAATGCAGAGCAGAGAATTAACTTCAATCAGACTGAGGATGTTTCTTATTCCCTACTTTTTTTACTCACCACAGGAGCTGAAAACGAAATGGTAGAAACCTCCACTTCTCCACCAACTGCTATGGTGTCAACCTGCTGGAACTGGATGCAATGGGTATAATCCATGTAGTGGGTGCCATCCACGCTGATCTAAAAAGAAAAGAAAAAAAAGGTATTAGGTTTTTATAGATTTTTATAGAAGTCTCAGAAAGCAGAGATACACGCCAAAGCCTCTATTTACTCCTGCTGCATTTCAGATCCAAAGTTTCCTCCAAACTGGAATTGAAGGTCAGTCAGAGTACCTACAGAAAATGCTGAAGATGTATAGAACTGTAGAGATTAGTCCATGAGATACTTCTAGGTCTTAAAAGTTCAAAAAACCTGTTTGCTACATCTGATAGGTTTAGGTCTGTGATCTTAAATTTGCCACTTCCCTGCTCAATTCCTAGTTTTAAAAAAAATGTGGAGGGAAACACCCCAGCAACGTGTGGCAGCATTTTTGGAAGCTCTGGTCCTTAGATTGGGGGAATTTGATTAGACGGTACAGATCAAAGTGTTTGTTTGTTTTTTGGGGGTTTTTTTGTGGAAAAACTTGGTGAAGATGCTGACCTTGTAAGATTTCTCCATAACGGTGATCTGCAGGGTGAAAATATGGCCAAGTGGTATAGGCGAACTGAGATTCCTCTCCTCGGAGACCCATTTACCATGCTGAAGGGTGTTGGTGACCACATAAGGTTTGCCGTCCATATAGCATGGATTGAAATGGAGGGCAATGTTCGCCTCCTGACTGGAACCACACTGTAAGTTCACATGGAACCTGAAGAGTAAAAAACAGTTAATATCTTTATAGACAAAAAAGTCATTATTTTGAAGAAATTTACAAATTAACAGGGTAGTTTTAGAAACTGATTAAAGTGTGTATTCATATTTCTTCATAAAAACAGCTGCAAACTATTTACCTAAATGAAAATTACTGTATAAAAATTAGTTTTGTTTGTGATTGTTCTCAAGTATAACAGTTTCTGAGAGGAAGGATCTGTGATTATGCTTCTTTGGGCAATTAAGGTGGAACAATTTTGATGAAAAAATATGCTCTTTTTGAAAAGTTACCAACCGGTCCACTTTAGGAAGGACTCGTCCGCTGATGATGATCGACATCCCCTCCTGCAGGCCTCCATGGATGGATCCAGTGAAAGGAATCCTCTAAAATACAAATCATGGTTTAAATAAGAATTTCTATCTATGTTTTCTGACTTACAGTGAGCAGAACAAAGGTCAAAGTTTTATCTTTGTTTCTAATTCTGGCCCAGTTTTCCCTTACCTTGAAAGCAAGATGAATTGTCATGAGATTGTGAGCTCATACAATCCAGAAAGCACATCTTGCCAGGGTTCAAGAGATGCATTACCCTTGCATACAGTTTGTTTTGAACCTTTGAACTGCAGTGATATGTATGATATCAACCGGGAAAGGCAGGCTGAAGCATAAATAACATGGCTACACCGATAGACCATACCTGTCAAGTCTCCCATTTTGGCCTGGAAACTACTATATTTTACTTCTCTTTCTAGCCGCCCTAATGTATTTACAGTCTGTCTTTTTCGTATTATTGTTTTATAAAATTGTATTAAAAAAACAACAACATTATTCTGCCTTCTAAAACAGAACTATCGCTAGCATCACAAGTGAAAATCAAAGTCTTAAAATATAATGAATACTGGAGCTTGACTGGGATTGTTGGACGACTCACAGAGTATGTTCTAAATTTCCCATATTTTCAAATCCAAAACTTGAAAGGTATGCAGCCGATGTACTCTACAGGTACAACGGCTGCATACCTGTAATGTCCTCCAGTTCTCTTTTGAAAAATTGGCAAAATTACACATTTTGTGCCTTTGTAAAAGGGAAAGATGTTTTTCGCAGATGTTTTTTGACCAAATTTAGTAAGAGCTTGTTTTATCATTCTACTCCATTAGTTTTGAAACAAATCAAGAATGCCGTAGGTGCCACTTATACCCCTTTCCCACTGGCCAAATAATTGGTTTAAACTCGGGAACAATCGGCTTTTAGTGGCAGCGGAAACAGCTTACTGATGCGTGTCTATCCAACTCTGCAAGCAGCCCACGTTAAAATCACCTTGGATCCGATAGGCATGCTGTGGGAACAGCAGAGCCAGGTTGACCCGCTAAATTATGTGACACCATTGAATTCAACATACAGCCATACAGACTCGGCCGGACCAGGCACTTGAACTTGAACCCCGGCGGATGGGGGCAGGGAGCCACCCGGTGATGGAGCGAATGAACCCAACCTGGTGACAGTATGCTTCCACCCGCCTGCCTTACTGCGCTTATTTACCTTGCTTCCAAAGCACAGCTACCGTTATCGTAAGGGTGTAACTTTGTGATGAAAGTTGGTGGGGTCATATGGGTGGAAGCTCATGGACCTACAGTTACACTTTAACCAAGCTAATTTTCCAAAAATGAGCTCAAACATATATTTATTGAATGCTTTCCTATTTTTGAGAACACAAGACCACAACACACTGATATTTAGAGGGATACCCTTTACTGCATTACAAATATAGGGCTCAAAAACATAAATTAATGAAAAGAAATTAATAAGAGCTGATTACAATGCCGAAATGTATATATCATGCATCCCTACAGGTACAATTTCAATTTCATTCAGAAAAAAAATCATTATGCTGTATTTTAAATGTAGCATAGCATAGTTTTTTTTTTTGTAAACTTTCTGGTAAACTTGGAGATATATTTTATTGCATGTTGCATATCCTAGTACATTTTTTTCACCTTACATTTTGCAGCTCTCCCTACTTCTATGCTCTGTTAAAAAAGATTTATGAACCTCTTTACTAATATAATGATGCCAGAAACAAAATTTTCAGATATGTAGAAGCGCTGCAGTCTGATTCTATCTGTACAATAAAAAAAAAAGTAACTGGGATTCATGGTCCTCTGAGATGCCAAGATTTTTTTAACTACTAAAGAAGATCAAACAATGTTTTCTCAAACTTCTAACGTTATAATACCAACTTGCAAAAACCCACAATCTGTGCCCATTGGTTAGGGTTAGGGTTAAAAAAAGCTCCATATGTCTAACGAACAGATTTTTCAGTGGCATTTCAAATTTTTTTTTTTACCAACCGGTCTCCTAACATTTACTTAAACATCAAAGTAGCTGCTGGTTAATATTCACTGAGTGCTGCTGTGTGTCTCTCCTACAACCACATAGCTGCTCGTTAAGCAGTGAAAGGCGACCGCAGATCAAATGTCTCAAAGCGACAAATCTGATGATGTTGCACCAAGATGCGGGACACAGGAGCAGCGGGAGAGAGGAAAAAAAACACTGACTCAAAACGCTCTGAACACAGACATGTGTACCTAACTCTGTTATCTCCACTGGCCCCCTGCCCCTTTCTGCCGGGGTTCCCGGACCAGCCCCGGAGCTGACGGCTCGGTTCGAGTGCCTGGTGTGTTTCGACTGCATGCTGCACTGTAGTCGACCAAAATCCCAGACGATTTTGAAATTCCCCCCGGACATTTTTTCTTAGGTATGAAAAGTAGGACATGTCCGGGAAAAAGAGGACGTCTGGTCACCCTATCTATGGTCAATTTTGCCTTCTTCCTTCACTGTATGCAAACTGTACAATTAAAATTTAATATACACAAATTCACCTCTGTGTCTACAACATTGCCCTTTGAGGCTATTTCAGTGTCTGCTAAGTTATGTTCCTCTCATAAATACATTAGTCTGGTCAAAGATTGTGAACTTTTGGGGATTACTCCTAAACCAGATTAAAGGCCCAAAGAAAGGCGTAACAGTAGAAAGCCAACCAGTGGGAAATAACTTATAAGACCTATTATGCCAAGGTTGCAATTTTAACTAAATATAAAATAAACAAAAATAACAATACTATAAAAAAGAAAAACAATTTGACAATTTGAAAATTACTGATTGACATCAACCAACATAACACAACATTAGCAAAATCTCCTTTTAACCTTGAGTTTTGAGAATAACTCAGAATGCATGAAAACTCCACTAGTAAAAGGTTGACCAATATAGACATGTTACACATCGTAACGTTCATTCGAAAGCTTAGATTCTCCACAATCAACCTTTGAAGGCATCCAGAAGCCGTTTTATAAATCCATTTAATAACTCCATTTGTCCATAAGCGTCCACAGGTTAAAAGTAATCCAGAATATTCGTAATACAAATGTTCAATGATGAGAAAATTGCCCATAATGTCCGGTTGTTGAAATCAGAAAAGTTAGCTGGACATAGCTTATTCTCAGCATCTTGCTAATATTTACTTCTAATATTTATTTCCTCAGTTGTGAGCCTGCAATGTTTGGCATGGTTCTTTACATCGTCTTATTAGCTACAAGACAAAGGTATCCACATTTTTTATGACGCGATTTGAGCAAGAACTCACTTCCGGCCACTTCCTGTCAGCCAGTGACGTGTGATATTATGCCTCATAGAGTCCTGCTGTTATTGGTTTAGACCACATGGGCTGTTGGGCTTTGTAGCCAATGAAATAAGGTTTCAAACAAGCCTACATATACTGAGGTCATTTTAAGGTGAACCATGTTACAGGTTTATGTTAAAGTGGAACAGACAGCTGCAGCTGGATCAATGCGCACACCTCCAAACTGAGTAATTACAACGGTCCTATTTCTTTGAAGTTTGGACGCTGATTTTGTTTTATTATAATGCCTACGACTGAAAAAAAAAATACAGCTCAGAAAAGGCATTGGGGCTTATTTTAGCTTGAAAAGCTAAACAAACCAATTTCAGTATCTTTTATAGATTTTTATTTTATTATAGTTTTAAAAGTTCTACATTTTGTTATATACACTGATTCTGAAAAAAAAGTGGAAAATGCTTGCTTTATAAATGTTTTGTGGCCATAAAAAAGCTTTAGTGTTATTATATGGCTCAGATATTAAAGCAAAGCATAGTAAAAGCATTTGGCACAATTTGGCACATTTGGAGATTTTCGGAGACGCTGGTGAGACCAAAAGTTCAAAGCCCCACAGCTCTGGAACTGTTGTAGCTAGAGGTCCGAAACTATGTGCATTTGTGGTGAAATGATGTAGAACAAATGTCTTTATTACTGCTGTTCAAAAAGACCTATCATTTTTGAGAATAAAAAAAACAACAACTTTATGTAATTTTTGAACCGATGCAGCTTGGTCTGTGTTTTACTCAGCCAATTTCCATTTATATATTTAGAAACTAGAGGGTGTTAGCTTTCAATTAATGTATTGCACATATATATATATATATATATATATATATATATATATATATATATATATATATACTCGTACTTGTAGTCTCCCGCTTTATCCGGAACCGGGTCGGGGGGCAGCAGACTAAGCCCTAGACGCTCCCAGGCCAGCCGAGAGACATAGTCTCTTCAGCGTGTCCTGGGTCGTGCACTGGGCCTCCTCCCGGTGGGACGTGCCTGGAACACCTCCCGAGGGAGGCGTCCAGGGGGCATCCGAAGAAGATGTCCGAGCCACCTCAACTGACTCCTCTCGTTGTGGAAGAGAACCGGCTCTACACTGAGCCTCTCCCGAAAGACCGAGCTCCTGCTTGAACCGCTACAGTAACGTGGTAGAGGGGTTTCAGTGCCTGGGTGATCACAGAGGCTATGTTGTCGGGGGCTAAATGCCCCTGGTAGGGTCTCCAAAGGCAAACAGACTCTGGTTCTGACAAGGAGCGGTTCAAAAACCCTTATGACGAGAAATACAGCAAGGCAAGTGACGTCGCCCGGTACGGCGGAGCCGGGACCCCACCCTGGAGCCAGGCCTGGGGTTGGGGTTTGTTGGCGAGCGCCTGGTGGTCGGGTTCTGCCTCGCGGGACCCGGCCGGGCCCAGCCCGAAGGAGCGACGCGAGGCCATCCCCGGGTGGGCCCACCACCTGCAGGGGGAACCATGAGTGACTGGTGCAAAGTGGATTGGGCGGCAGCCAGAGGCGGGGACCTCGGCAACCTGATCCACGGGCGCTATATATATATATATATATATACATATAAGGGATGGGACGGTTTATGAAAACCGTCCGAACCGTTCGGTTCGACTGTCTCGGTTGGATTTGCGTGTGTTTCGTTCGTTTCATGCGCTGCTCCTTTTTCTCATAGGCGAAACGTGTACACTCCAGAGCAGA